GTACTTAATGATGACCAAAGATACAGTTTGCTGGGTAAAAAACACTTGTTTCAAAGAAAGATGCCAATATTGTACCTACCAAAAGGAAGTGTACTACAAAAAGCAGGGGGAAGATCTACGCAAAACTATTTAAGAAAATGTCAGAAGCACAAGTTTGGTGTGGTCATTTTCTGCAGGTATTTTGTAATTTGTGCTTAAGTAAATTTATTAATAAGGAGTTGGAGAAGATAGCTCAGTGGCCAAATATATGCTTTGTATGCAAGAACCCTGAGCACTGGTGGGATTGTCCCCAAACAAAAAAACCCACAAAAGTTATTAAAACATGGGTTAGGGGTTGAACAAATTTCTTCCAGAAGAAATTAAGGTACTTTATATATAAATTACCTCCACTTGGCTTTAAAAAATTTTTCTTATGACTAATATGTTTTGAGAGGTCTGATTGTTGGCTGAACTTAGACTGAGAGGAAAGGAGTTTAGCAGTAGGTTAATTAAATAGGTAAAATGAGGATAGTGCTGTATTTTTTTTTACCTTTTTTTGTCCCTTGTTCTTTTTTTCAGATTTTTCAAAGTTTAAAACCATTAGAACATTTAACTATCTTATATTCGTTTGTATACTCTTAAAAATTGGTTGAATTTATATGACTTCCAAAAGTAAAATTGACAAATACTGCATTTTGTTTTGTTGGGGGAAATATATTGGTATATATATAAAGTGGGAGTAAGAAATCCCAGAGCAACAGGAAACCAGGAATATTAGCATTAATTTCATTGCAGTTAGAATATATTTAATAAACATGTGGCAGTACTGTTCATTTTTGGGTAAATGTGGCACAGTACAGATTGGTGTAGGAGAGTATTACTGCTACCAGTAGTAGATCTTCAGGAGCTATAAGAAAAATTGTAATTTAGAGGGAATAGCATTCTTGTTTAGCCAGTTAGTAATTTAAGCTCATATTTTTTACTTTATAAGTGCTTTGTTGCTATTACCAAGTACTTATTGACTATAGTAGTGGACCCTGGTGATTATTATGTGTATAACATTTCAGTAAACTTTCAAAGAGTTTGAATTTAGCTTAAACTTTTTTTGCCTTTAAATTTTATTAAAATTTTTTATTTTAAATACATTATTTCCCTTTTTTATGAAATTTGTTTTTAAAATTTTTTTACATTTTATTTATTTTTACTATTTTATTTTTTCCCCCAACATCCATTCCTTCGCCAGTGTACATTTCCCACCACAAATCACCTGCCCCCCTTCCTTCTCTATGACATGTACTTCTCTCTCTCACTTCCCACCCCCACATTTCTCTTTCCTTTTCTCTCTCTCCCTCCCTCCTTCTATTTAGGTATTCCAAATCTCTGTGCAATTGGGTTGTTTCCAGTTCCTGGCTGTTGTTGTAAATAGTGTTGAAGTTAGGTGTATGTAAAAATTTTCAAGTTAGTGTTTCTTATTCTTTAGAGAAGTAGCAGTGGGACTGCTCGTTCATATAGCAGACCTATTTTTAATATTTTGAGAAATCTTCACTCATAGAGGCTAAACCTATTTACAATCTCACCAATAGTGAATGTGGTTCCTTTAGTTCCATACTCTTGCTAGCATTTGTTTCTAGGCTTTTGATATTGGCAATACTCACAGGTGTGAGAAGATCATCTCATTGTCATTTTGATTTGATTTAGCTAGAATTTTAAAAACTTTCTGCTGTCTTAGTACATTTTTAATTTTGTCTTTTGATAGTATCTTCAAGTGTGAACTACTTTTAGTGTTGACATCATGGATGTTAAATCTTAATGTACTGTAGATTTTTGTTCTTTAAGAATAAATGTAACTGGGGCCAGGGAGATAACACAGTTGGCTAAGGTGCTTGCCTTGCATGTGGCTGACCAGGTTCAATCCCCAGGATCCCATTTTGGACCCCTGAGCATCACCAGGATTGCTTCCTTAGTGTAGAGCCAGAAGTAAGCCCTGAGCATCTTTGGTATGCCCCCCAAAAAAAAAATTTAAAAAATTTAAATTTTTTAATTTAAAAAAATCAAGTGTAACTAATTTATTGGCTTATGTGAGGATTATTTTCACTGTGCTTATTGCATATTTATAAACTGATTTTGAATCAAGTTAAATTTTAGAGCTGTTGCAGAGACACAACTTCAAATATTCCATGCTGTGGTAACTTTGAGAGATTTTGTGTTTTACCTTTTGGAAGGCAACAAGCTTCAACCAAAGTAGTTTAACATAGGAGTTGAAGTAAGCTATAGTAGTTTGGAGGATACTGAAAACATGTTGGTTTTTTTAATTTCCCTTTGCTAATTCTTGAGTTAAAATATTGTTGGTGAAAACTAGGAGAGTAGAGTTACATATATATATATACATATATAAAACTACTATGAATGAGAGTAGAACTTAAGTAACATGCATTCAATATAATGCCTTATCTGTGGTAGTTATTTCGTCAATGATTAAGATAAATTAATGGACAATGGATAGGTTGGCAAATATGAGGAAGGTATGCCCTTAAACCTAGTAGAATGATGAGTTATTTTGGCATGTAGGATATGACAAAATTTCTTACTTTTTTTTTTTTTTTTGGTAGTCTTTGGTAGTCTTTGGAATTGAACTCAGGGCCTTACACTTGTAAGGGATGTGCTCTGCCACTGAATAACATTCCTCATTTCTATTTTGTGTTTTACTTGCTTTTGGTTTTTGTGCCACACCGGTCCCAAAACTTAATCCTGGCTCTGCACTCAGGTATCATTTCTAATAGACTCAGGGGACCATTTGGGGTACTGGATATTGAACCTGGGTCGGCTGTGTGCAAGACAAACACCTTCCTGTACTATTGCTTTGGCCCCACATTAACCATTACTTCATCTTATTTTTTTGTTTGGGGCCGGACCTGGCAGTGCTCAGGGGTTACTCCTAGCTCTACACTCAAGGAGTTACTCCTGGTGGTGCTTGGAATTGTATGGGGTTCTGGGGATTGAACCTGTGGTGGCCACATGCAAGGCAAATGCCCCACGTGTTGTACTATTACTCCAGCCCCACATTAACCGTTTTTAAACTTAAATTTCAGTTAAGAATTTTACTATAGAATTACATAGGAATAATCTGCCTGTTTCTAAGTCTATGAGAAGAACTGCATTATTGAAATTTTTTTTAATGGAAACTTTTTGAAATTTATTTTTTATTGAATCACTGTGAGATACAATTAGAAAGCTTTCATGTTTGAGTTCTAGTCATAACAATGATCAAAACCCATCCCTCCACCAGTGTACATTTTCCACCACCAATGTCCCCAGTATCCCTCTGCCCCCCCCCGTCCCACCTCTCCCCCTCCCTTTATGGCAGACAATTTCCCTCTTTCAACTTTTGGGTGTTATGGTTTGCAGTACAGATACTGAAAGGCCATCATGTTTGCTCCTTTATCTACTTTCAGCATATATTTGTGTTAGGGGTGAATGATTTGAGAAGTGAAGTAGGCTCTATTTACCATGAATGTTGTAAGAAGAGCAAAGTAAAGGTAAATTACTCACTCCCTCCTTTGCAATGTTCATGTAACATGTGTAACATTTGAATGCTGCTGCGCACTCAAAATTTTCTAGAGATTTTATGCAGCCTTTTTTTAAATCAGGAAAAAGTTTCCATCTGGAGTCATTGTTGTTTAGATCACACTATGAAAAACATATATAGTACCTGGAAGTTGTGATTTGGTTATGAGATCTGACTCACCAGATCTCTTCCTGCTGCTCCTACCTACCTTGTTACGATTACAAAGATAAAGTTTTTAAAATTGTAATGTGCTAAGCGTTAAAAGTTATATCAATACAAGGTTATAGACTATTGCATGCATATAGCCCTTCTGTATCCTTGCTATTTTGAATATGATTTCTGTGGATATTAGCATCTTTTAATAGACAGTTTTCTTTGAAATGTGGAATCTTAGCCCTTCACCTGCTTTATCACAACTTGGATTTTATCAAGCTCTAAGTGAGTCTGGTACACATTAAGTCTGTATATGCTGTTATAAATTTCATTCAAACAGACCTCTTTCTGTTCTTTGTTGAATACTGTTAGTTTCAGAGAATAGCAGATCCCTTTGATTTGACAAGTAATTATTATCCACTTGAAACGTCTATGCTTCAGTAATTATTGTTTTAAAGTTAAAAATATATAGTATCATAAACGAGAGCTGTATGTTTATGAGTCCCTCCCAAACATGTAGAACTTAGTATGGTACTCAAAATGGCCAGAGATTTGAAAGACCAAAAATTAAAAATATTCTTCATGTATAGTACATTGAGAGTTTCATACCACTGTGTTTCATTGCTTTACTACAGTTTTTGTACTCCTCAGCAAGTGACATTTTTTTAAAAAACTACCCTATTTCATAATTAAAAATTTTCATTTTGGATTATTAAATTTTGTTGAACTCAGCATAGCCCAAGGGTTTTCACAGAATCAACTTTTAGAGCCCTTTTATCCATATACTAGCTACTCGATTAGATACTTTGATTGTAGGGATAAATTACGTAGTAATTTTCACTTATTATTTTGCCTTTTCAGGAAACTTCATAAAATATTGTTATTAAATTTGTAATATCTCAAGTTTGTCATTAGAATTGAACTATATCCTTTTAAAGAAATTAAATGTTTACTTATGTATAAAGCTCACTACAGAAATTAGAACAATACAAAAATATGAAAAAGGGGAATAAAATTCTATCAAAGTGTTTCTTCAAGATGCTACTTAGTTTATATGTAAGATTTTTTTTTTCCCTGTTGTGGTGTGAGTCATCAGACTCGGCCACACACATGCAGAGCATCTGCTTTGCTGATGAGCCATATCTCTGGCCCTCCTTTTAAACCTTTTTTATGTATAAAAGGTGTCTGCCGTATATAAAAATTTAATAAGACAGGATTGATCACTGTGCTGAGAATTGACTTATTACTGAGAAAGGTTAAGCTGAAGTTTATATCTTAATATGATCATGTTTCTTGACTTTAGGGAAGAAACCCTTTTTTCTTGGAACCTGCAATAATTATAACAATTACTGACGGGAGCAAGTTGACTACTACCAGTGGAGTCCAGGATGAGGTAAGCTGAGATCACGTCAACGTGATTGAATCAGATACAATTTAAAAGTCTTGGATATGTGTTGTAGGGTATTAAATACCTATTTTTTTTTAAATCTGGATTTTCTGTCTCCTAGGACTCATCTACCACCTAATGTTTATAGCGGTGGTCTCTAAATATTCTTGAATAGGATTCCCTTCTGTGAAAAAGTTTTTAGCCTATCTCTTATTGCACTTAATATAATATGTATATTTTTAATGTATGTGGGGGGACAGTATAAACTTATATAGTAAACTTAGTAATATGTTATCTTGTTTTTAGGCTAAAGAGGGAGACAGCATTCTAATATTTTCTTCCCATTTAAAAAAAATTGAGTTAAAAATATTTTTAGTGTTGTATACAGCGTAAGTCATTTATAGGTAACCTCATGCATTAGCATACTTTATGTAGTTGGGTTTTTTTGGTGTGATAGGAAGGCTACAATAGATTAAGCGGTTTCTACTGTAGACTTTTAACTACTCATGAAAATGCTTGGTTTTAAAAAATATATTGCTAAAGAAAGGAGATGTGAATATGGTTTAGATTATTACATTTTCTGTTTCCTTTAGAATACTTATTGTTGCATTTGTAGAGAGTATGATTAAGTACAAGAAAGAGAGTTTTTGGTTCACTAATTTCTAGAACTTTGAGCTGTATAACATTGTGGAGTGCAAATTGGGTTTCAGTGGATTTTTGTCTTAGCTCAACTGCCTTCTAGCATGGAACTTTGTGAGATACCTGGTTGCCTAAATCTCTGTTCTTATCAGTGAAATAATGATCATTCTTACATGTTATTGAGAGACTGAAAGAAAAGAATGGGTCTGAAAATGCTTGCAGAAAAGAGTGTAGTAGTGTTTTCTCATATATCATTGCAACCAGTAGAAAATTGTGATTTCTTGATCTTGATTTGAGTTTGGGGAAAGAGAACCAAAATTATTTTAATAGTTGATATGAAAGGGAATGTAGGATTTAATTCATGGAGATAAAGAAAATTTTGATGTGGGAGTGGTGCATGCCAGGTAGTGCTCAGGGCTTACTCCGATGCTTAGGCATCAATTCTGGCAGCTCTTAAGTCTGGTGCCTTAACCTCTGTAGTCACTCCAGAGATAGAAAATTTTTAGTAGAGTCACTGTTAAATATATAACTTAAGCATAGCTCATGATCTTGAAATGAATTTCATTGACTTACAGACTTTTGCATTTGGTTAACATTGATAGCAAATTATGTCCTGCTACTATTAAGCAGTAAAAGCATTGTGTAACTTTAAATTTGAAATGCTCATATTTATAATTTGACCTTCCTTTTGAAAATAGAGTGAAGGATAGGTATTATTAATCAGATCATAAATATTAATTAGACCCAAATAACTTTATTTTGCTTTCAATATTTTGGGGGGCACTCCTGGTGGTTGCTCAGGGGCTACTCATTGGTCTTTGGGATTGCTTCCTGAAGACCATATGATGCTGGGGATTGACCCTGGGTCTCATACATGCGAAGCATGTATTCTGCCTATTAAACTACTTCTCTGAGTGCCCACCAATAATTACCTTCTTTATTCAATTTTACTTTTTATAAATTAGTCGGTGGTGGGGGGGTGATGAGGTTTGGGCCATACCCTGCCATGCTTGGGGTCACACTCCTGGCTCTGGCACTGGCTCCAGTTCTGTGCTCAGATATTAGTCCTAGTGATACTTTGGGAAACTTACGTAGTGCTGGGGATTGAACCAGGGTCAGCCATGTGCAAGGCAAATGCCCTATGCCCTGTACTCTCTTTGTTCTACATTAGGAGCCTTATGATAGAATATTTTTGTTTTTATTTGCAATGGCTTTCATTTCTAGTTATTGATGATTGAAAAAACATTTATTTTTTTTATTGTGAAGTGTTTTTATATATGCAACTATTCATTCAAGGTGCTTCGCTTTATTGCCTTTGTCAGGAGGGTACAGTATATTTTATTCTGTTCTATATGGATTTATTTTATTTATAATGTTTGTCATAGAGACTTTCCCAGTTAAAAAAAATTTACTTGAAATGTATGTAGATAGTGGAATGGCTCATCTTTCTTTCGAGGTCATTAAAAGGATATTGGAGAATGGGATTATTTATTAAAACTGCCTTGCTTAGAAAGGTTTGAAGATTTTCCCGTGGGCAAGGATCTTTTAATTCTCTTTTATTTTCTATAACATTTAACATACTTTTGAGAATAAAGATTGCATAAAAAATGGAGTTGTAGACATTGTTGTATTGGGTATGATAGTTATCAAAATAAAATTGATTGCTACTCATTTAAAACTAAAAGATGTTTGTTTTAAGGCAATGGTTCCTTTTGGCTGTTCAGTTGGAGCATATACCTGTGAGTTACTTTGATTTTCAATTTAAGAACGTCTTTGAGCTTCTCATTTTGAGTTCTTAATATTCCAACAAAACTCTGGTGTGGCAAAGAGAAATTGTACCCCCAGATGTGCATATTGTTGAATTCTGCTCTATTTTAACCTAAATAATTTGTGTGGTTCATTTTGAGGAGCCTTTAAATTAATGAAAGGTAGAAAGATGCTTTTGGTTTAATCTTGTATGTTTTCGCACATGTATGCTGCATATATTTTCCAGAATTTTATCCATATGTTTCTTTTCTTTAGATTTGTAATCTTGGCAGAGATTTGTAATCTTTAGCACAGTTTGATTCTTTTTCTAAATTTGTTGAATAAGCGTGTCATTTTCCACATTAGGTATCTGTGTACATAATTCTTGTTTGTTTGTGCCTGCTATTGACTGATCTATTCTCCGTTAAGGTTTTATGCATTCCACCTATATAGATAGCCTTTGCTCGGGAATCATGTTACCTTATGGCATCCATCCTAATTGTTCCTGTTGCTTTAAAATCATCCTTAGAGACAAAAACAAACACTGTCCCCCCCGCCCCCCCGTTGTTCATTGAGTGGGCCCAGTAACGTCTTATGCCATTAGAGAATATTCTTGATGCCTTAGAGAATATAAGGAAAATCAGAGCTTCTCTAACTTTACTACTTCTTTTTTGTTTTGGAGTCATACTTGGTGGTACTGTGTATATGAAGAGGAAAGAGTGGAGGGGGGCCTCATGGGGTGCCCAGAACTTCAAGCAAAGCCCTGTTGTTCATCGATTTGCTCAAGTGGGCCCAGTAACGTCTCCGTTGTGAGACTTGTTATTACTGTATTTGGCAGATCAAATATGTCACGGATAGCTTGCCAGGCTTTGCCGTGCAGGCGAAATACTCTCGATAGCTTGGTGGGCATACTTTATATATTTTTTTAAATGGGGAAACATCTCTGGTGGTGGTTATTTGCACAAGGTGATAACGTGTTACTGCCAAAATTTGTGTTAGAATTGTTTTAAATTCCAAAGATATCTCCCACCCCTCTGTAGACCAACGTTCTAATGTATTACTTGCTTGACTTTTTTTGCTTTTTCTTCTTAAAATTTACTTTTTGTTTATTTCTTACTTAGTTCAGGGTTTCTAAGAATTGTCATATAGATAGTATGTTCTTAGTGTCCCTTGAAATTTGATATAATAGCATTTCTAGGCAATGAAGATAACAATGATGAATAGGGTGGATTTTTTTGTTTTTTCAGTTTTATGTATTATGGGGAGATCACTTATTAAGTTGATTTATGAGTAATAAAATAGAGATACATATTGTGTTATACAAACACTAAAGAGGGCTAATATTACCCTTCTTGTGCGCATGTCGTATCTTGTGTATTGTGAATTTTTAGAGTTTTAATTTGGATCCACTAAATTTAAGGATGTTCTGCATAATTTGGAATTGCCATGGAAATTAAATAAGCTATGTAAATTATATGTTACCTCTGAAATTAATCAGAGTGTTGGTATAATGTTGTATTGAGCCTAGAAGATAATGGAAAAACTTGTTGCTATGTTTTCTCATGATCTAGCTAAGTTTATAAAGACCACAATGACTCAATGTCTTACAACTTGTGCGTCAAGTTATAGTAATAGAGGGATACCATTTCCTCTGTGACACTTAGGGTGTTAGGAGTTTGAAGAGTAATAACTCTGTATTTTGGAGTTGGGACCTGTGTGGTTACTTTAATTCATGGCTTGAATTAACCTTATTTGTCCTCAAAAAGTTCAGGTTATTGTCTTCAGTGTTAAATGTTTCTGATACAGTAGTTATACATAATTAGATAGGATTTTTGTTGACAATCTCTGTTCAAAATGTGTATGTGGTTTTGCTCCTTTTTTCCTTTTGAAATTCAGCTATTTGATAAAATTGGCAATTTGTAACATTCATGTATGAGATGAGACTTTATGGGACTTTATGTTAGTTGGGACTTTGAATTATGATATACAAGAAAACTATATTTCTTACCCTGATGGGTAGTCATCTTTGGTGGTGGTAAACATACTTGTGCCATAATGTTCATAATATCATTTATTGTGTTATATTATTGATTTGTAAAATAGTAGGATCATTAGGTAGTTACCAGATTGTAATTAGAGCTATTAAAAACATTTTTTTCTGGTTTCTGTTTTTTCATAGCCTCCTTTGTACTGTTCTTCAGTGGAAAAGTATTCTGTGCTGATTCCAGGAACATGTAGCTCAATATTGCTCAATAAAGTCTTAGCCTAGAAGAGATCCCTGCCAGTACCTTCTTAGTGATGAGTGACATTCCAGGATAGTGTAGCAGTTATTTTTCCTCTTCCTTGAAAGTGCTAATAGTAGTATTATCTTTCACATACTGAGATTTCTATATGCTAAAGGTTTTTCCTGCATCTCTTTGCCAATGATGGATTACCCCAAGGGTAATATTTCAGAGAAGTTTGCAAGGGGAAAAAATCTTGTTGCTTTTTGACAGTATTAATTTTGTCTTTCTAGATTTTCCTAACTTTGAAAGACAACCCAGGACAACTGTTCTCATGATCTTTTTTTTTTTTCTTTCAGTTACAAGGTTGTTCATGATTGGGGTTCAGTCATACAATGT